CCTACTTCACGCTGCATGCTCCATTTTCTCCCACTATGTACGATCATCTAAAAACACATTATTTTTCATATATATTATTATTAAATAACCCTTATATTATTTGACCATATTTTTGTGTTTGTTTTGTTTTGTTTCTTTTAGCAATGGGGTCTCACTATGTTGCCCAGGCTATGTGTAGTGGCTATTCACACGCACATTCACAGCTCACAGCAGCCTTGAATTCTGGCCTCAAGCGATCCTCCTGCCTCAGCCTTTTGAGTAGGTGGGACTACAAGTGTGGCACCACTGCACCCCACTTTGTTTATAAGCATCGTTCTGTCTGTCACATCCATGATCTTTGTGACAGTCATATGCCCCCTACATTATTGTGCCTGTATTTAAGCACAGAATGAGAAAAAAAAATCAGAGTGCTTTATATATGATTTTTATTTTATTGTAGTAAGAACACTTAACATGGGATATCCTTTTAACATGTCTTTAAGTGCTCAATACACTATTGATAACTCTGGGCACAATCTAACACAGAAGATCTCAATGTTATACAGAACTTGTTATTCATCTGGCATAAATGAAATTTTATACTCATTGAACCTCAACTCTCCATGTCCCCCTCCTTTCAGCCCCTGATACCAAAATTCTATTCTTTGTTTCCATAAGTTTGACATTTTAGATACTTCATATAAGTAGAATGATGTAATATTTGTCCTTCTGTGACTGGCTTATTTCACTTACAGTAATGTCATTTCTCCAGAGAAGATGTACAAATGATCACCAAGTATGTGAAAAGATGCTCAATGTCACTAGTCATCAGGGAAATGCAAATCAAAGCCACAATGAGATTTATATCATACCTGTTAAGATGTCTATTATGAAAAAACAAAAGACCAAAAGTGTTGGTGAGGTTGTGGAGAAATTAGAGCCTTTGTACCCTTTTGGTGGGAATGCAAAATGCTACAGCTGCTATGGAAACAGTATGGAGGTTCCTCAAAAATTAAAAATAGAACTATCATATGATCCAGCAGCTCCAATTCTGGGTATTCATTCAAAAAACTGAAATCAGGATCTCAAAGAGATATTAGTACTCCCATACTCATTGCAGCATTATTCAAAATAGCCAAAATGTGGAAATAACTTAAATGCCAATTGACAGATGAATGGATTAAAAATGTGGTATATATGGCCAGGCACAGCGGCTCATGGCTATAACCCTAGGACTCTGGGAAAGGTAAGCAGGAGAATTGCTTAAGGTCAGGAGTTTGAGGTTGCAGTGAGCTATAATGATGCCACTGCACTCTACCCAGGGCTACAGAGGTAGACTCTGTCTCAAAAAAAGGGAAAATGTAGTATATACATACAATGGAATATTATTCAAGCACATAAAAGAAGGAAATCCTTGTAATATGTGACAACATGGAGGAACATAGAGGACATTATGCTAAGTGAAACCTGCAGTCTTTTTAAATATATATATATATATATATATATATATTATTTAGTACATTATTTCCCTGATCAAAACCATCCATAAGTTTCCCATCAAATTTTCATAGAAATGTAAATTCCTAAGCACAGCCTACAAAGGTCTACATAATTTGGATTTTAACCAAACTATAATGTAACTTTTTACCAGTGATCTCTTGATAAGTACCAGTTCCAGTTTCATTCTTCAAGAAAGTTTCATTCTTTTCTTTTATAAAATAAAGCCATTACCACTCAATGAACTCTTCACTTTCTCTTTCCTAATTCTGGGATGTGATTCCAACAAATCTTCACTTTATTAGCTTCTCACTTATGTAAGGTGCTTTTTCATCTTCATCAACTCTGAGATACCAATCCTAACCAAATTTTCTAAACTCCCTACTGCACCCTGTTTTCTTTCCCCTTCCCATCATAGGTCTCTTTTTAAAATTCTTGCAAGAATGGAACTCAGGAGGGCCTGAACTTAATCCTGCTGGGACATATATATTTGGTAAATTAGACCCTTTATAGGACTCATTGCTACTATTATTAGCTTAATTCCCATCTTTCCTACTCGAATGTAAACTCCACAGGGGCTATATTTGTTCCTTAATTTATTATTGTTAAAAAGTTTCTCAGGATAAGTAGATGCCTGGCCAATATTAATAGAACAAAAGAATACTTGAAACTGATGAAAAAGCTACTTTTTTCCCTGATACTTCCCATTTAGGTGAAGGCTACCTTTATCAACCTAGGCACCCAAGCCAAAAACTTTGGGTCATCCTTGATTGTTTCTTTTCCCTCTCCCCCTATAAATAATTGAACCTCTCATCTTATTATTTCTATCTCATTCATAGATCTTAAATCTGCTTTTTCTTTCCACTACTATTTTCACTAAAATTTTATGCAGAACATGAAGGATAGGTGGGTATGGCTTTTCAAGAACAACTTACAATGGCTGGGTGCAGTGGCTCATGCCTTTAATCCCAGAATTTTGGGAGGCCAGGATGGGAGGATTGCTTGAGCCCAGAAATTTGAAACCAGCCTGGGCAACATAGGGAGATCTTGTCTCTACAAAAAATGTTAAAAATATTACCCAGGAGTGGTGGCACGCGTCTATACTCCCACCTACTCAAGAAGCTAAGGCAGGAAGATCGCTTGAGCTCAAGAGTTCACGGTTGCAGTAAGCTGTGATTGTACCACTGCACTCCAGCCGGGGTACACAGTGAGACTCTGTCTCTTAAAAAAAAAATGATTGAAAGAAAAAAATTTGGTCTCTGACTTTTGAAACAAATGTTATATTTCATTAATTAAAATAAGGACTTCAAACTTCCATGACATTAAGTTCTAGAGTAAACCTCCAATTTAATGGAATAGTCTGGGGTGCATTTCATTTCATGATAATCAAAATTTCTCCTGAAAAAATAAAAGTAAAATTGTCTTCAATATACATACATATATGTGTATAACAAAAAAAATGACATAAAATTATTTATCAGCTATGAAGTTTTACTTGAAGTATTAAGTGCTAAGTATACTAAAAAGAAAGTTACTTTACTATATTTCTCAAGTAGAAACAAAGGATGAAGTAATATAGCGATACTTGATAGACTGTTTGCTTAACAGCTTTATTGAGGTATAATTGATACACAAAGAACTGCACGTATTTAATATGCACAATTTGATGAACTTAGACATATGCAAACACCCATGATACCATCACCACAATCAAGGTGAAAAACATATCTAGAATTTCCTTGTGTCCCTTTGCTCTTGCTTTTGTTTAATAAGTGGCATAGAATTCAGTGTTTCTTGAAGAAACACTTAAACAAACACTTAAAGAAATGCTTTACTAATGAGGAAGGACTTAAATAAGGCTATTATATAAAATTTAGAGTTTAAAAAGTAGAGTACAAAAAAATAACTCACATTCAGAGAAGGAATATAGGCAAATGGATGAAGATGGTAATAGGGAGCTATATATTTAGGGGCAGTGAAAAGAACAATTCTATTGAAGTAGGTGGATATCATTAATACAATAAAATCTGGTATAGGACATATCATGAGAGATTATGAATGCCCAGCTAATGCATCAGAAATTTTATTCTATGGGCAAAAGAGAATGTACAAACAGTTATAATTATTGAAGAACAACCTAGAAAAAATATTTTAGGAAGACCAGGCTCTTTTTATTATGTGGCTCCTACTAGGGCTTCACTGACAGGAATTCTCCCAGCAGCAGAAGAAGGACAATGTGGAGAAGTCATAGACAATTTAAAAGCCGTGGTCCAGAAATGGCCCACATCACATGGCTAGAACTCAGTCTTGTGGCCATAGGTAACTTCAATGGATGTTTAAAAATGTGATTCAGTTTTTTATCCTTGAATAAAGGATGAACACTTATTTCTACGAATAGTTAGCAGGCTTTGTCATAATTGTTTGTTTTTGTTATCCCTTTGATATCTTACTCTTACATTTATAACCTTCGAAGCCAATAAAGAGCAAAATCCAATTGTTGCAAAATGTATTAATTCTTTTTTATGGCTAAGTAGTACTCCATGGTATGCATATACCACATTTTGTTAATCTACTCATGTATTTATGGGCACTTGGATTGATTCCACATCTTTGCAATTGTGAATTGTGCTGCAATAAACATTGAGTGCAGGGGTCTTTTTCATAAAATGACTTTTTTTCCTTTGGGTAAATACCCAGTAGTGGGATTGCTGGATCAAATGGTAGGTCTACTTTTAGTTCTTTGAGGAATGTCCACAACTAGAGGCTACACTAGTTTGCAGTCCCACCAGCAGTGTATGAGTGTTCCTATCTCTCCCCATCCACACCGGCATCTACTGTTTTGGGACTTTTTTATAAAAGCCATTCTTGCTGGGGTTTTAACATTTGTAACATTCTGGATGGAACTGGAGACCATTCTGCTAAGTGAAATATCTAAATAATGTAAAAACAAATACCACATATACTCACTATTAAAGTGGAACTAACCAATCAGCACTCATGTGCACAGATGGAAGTAAAACTCAACAGAAATCAAACAGGTGGGAGGGGGAGGAGGGGATGGGTGAAATCTTACCTAGCGGGTGATGGGTGCCCTTATAACTTTGACTTTAGCAGTACAAAAGCAATTCATCTAACCAAAACATTTGTACCCTCATAACATTCTGAAATTTATAAAGAAGAGCAAAATCCTAATCTGGCTGTAGCATCCATATTGAAGTCCTGATGTGGGAGATGCATCGCCTCCTCTTTTAGATGTGGATGTGATTCCCCATGGTCTGGACACATAAGAAATAAAAAGGCAAGATATATTTCACCATCGTCAAACCCAATATACAATGGCAGGTTGTGAGAAGATAAGCACACAAAAAAATCATACATTTGAAAAATGAAAGAGTGGGAAATATACAGTCACAGGTGCATAGCAAGATAACATATGAGATAGGTATTATGAAAAAAATCCCTGACATGGGAAAGTCTGATTAAATTCTGAATTTGATTCTACAAGAAATTTCATTTACCATTAGCTTTCATGGCCATATCTTTAATGGGCATTGGAGAATTTGCCTTCCTGGAGTGATGCAGAGCTTTGGAGACCACTTCAATATATGACAAGTCTGTAGTACAAAGGTTAGTTCCTTTGCCAATTACATTTTCCCCCAGATTTAGTAGAATTCTAATATATTTGCTCCATATACCAAACAAAAGTAAAAAAGAAAACATTGTACCTTGTATATTCCCTTCTATTTGTTTGAAAACTTATTCTTGAATAAGCTAATTTCTTATTTTCTATTAATAATAAATACTGTGTTAAAAAAAAAACAGCAAACAACAGAAAGCACACTCTAATGCTCTGGATATTTCCAACAACACCCTTTCCAGGCTCAGTAGACAAGTGTTTTAAATTCACTTATACAAGTTGTAAATTCTATATGTGTATATTTCAGTGAGCCTTATCTAAAGTGTATGTATGGGGCTTGAGTGATTCAAAGATCTTGAAACTTAATCATTGTAAATTTGAGGTTCTTGGAAAGAAGCTATGCATTGCTCTAAGGATGAGCATGAAAACTCTGAAATTGGAGAGGAGAAAAACTTTCTCCCTTTACACTAGTAGACTTGTGAATGAAAGAGATTTCAATATTAAATGGAGAAAATCATATGTGTAGCCAAAAGAATTGTCTCAGGATCACATGTGCCTTTTTTTGTCTTCCAGCAAAAGAAAAAGTGTTTGGCTCACTGTTCCTTTATTCAAGAGCTGAAAATCTTCGGTAAAGCACAAAGTTTAATTATAGAAAAAGTAGGGTCTAAATGAATAATATAATACAGAACAGAAGCAGGTGCATGTGAAAATAAAATGCAATTTCATAACCGAATGAAAATCATATACTTCAGCCTCAAGATGACAACCCTATTTTGCAGCCATAATTGTTAATCTTGTAAGAGCAGAGGCAGTCTCTATTCAGCATGCTTCTTTGTAAGTATGCACGTGTGTGCATTTGTGAGAGAGGTTATCAGAACTTCATCATATTTTAATATGTATAATTATATATATGCTATTTATATATTTACTACATATTTATATATTTATAATATACTAAAGGTATTGCCTGTATATACATATATTTAAATGCTATTACCTTGAAATAAAATATTGATTCTGTTTCCATATAAGACTATATCAAATCTATATAACTTAAGGAAAAATTAGGTTATTTGGAATTAATTAAAATTTGTGTTCTTTGGTTAGAAGTCTTAGTTTCACTTCTATGAACAATGCTTATTTAATAACATATAACAAAAAATCATTCTGTTAATACATAGAAGTCTCAAGCAGACTTCTGTGGAAGAAAGAATAATTACATACTTACAATATGTAGCAGTTCAGAGCTTTTTATATCTCCAATCAATAAATAAAATTTAAATATACAAAATCTTTAGCCCATTGTTGGGGGTGGGTAAACTCACAACTAATGGACGTGGTGAGCATTGTAGGGGGGAAAAGACACGCTTCAAATCATGGTTTGGGTGTGGCAAAGTCATAACATGTAACCAGAATATTTGTACTCCCATAATTTCCTGAAATAAATAAATAATTAATTTGAAAAAATCTTCAACCCAAAGTATAATGTTATTATCACTGCTCAAAACAATAGGTCTAAAAGCCACAAATTTCTACTTATAGATATCGATTTTTCTAAACCAGTCATTTGTTTATTCTGTTATGCACATATATCATATATACACATATATAAACATGTATCTGTAAATATATTAAAGGCAAGCTTTATTCTTAAAAAATGATTTAATCCATCTTTAAATTTTTCCAGTTTTCATGGCTAATGTATTGATAGACTTTCAAGACCAAGTATCTCTTTTCTCTGTTGGCTTTGTGTTTTCATAATGAAAATTATATTAGGCATGACAAAAATTATATTTTTATCAGTTTAAAATTAAGAATAAAGAGATATTACTTGTAGATGTGGTATTTCTTTAACAGAAGAATTACTTAGTGGAGGCTTTTTATTGTTTTTGTTGTTTTGTTTTAGTTGCATTTGTTAAATGCTTGGTTTCATCCGTTTGTATTTTGAAAAGACAGAGGCTGTATTTTTTCTAATTGATATTTCTAAACAAATCTGCTTGGATTTAGCAATAATATTTTACCGATAGATATCTTTATTCAAACTTATTATTATTATGTTTAATTACCCTAGTTTAAAAGAAAAGATCTCATACCACTCAACACTTTTTAAATCAAATCTGGAAAAAAATATTCATTCATTAAACATTTGGCAATAACTTAAAAGATACTCACTCAAGGCAATTCATAAGAAAAATGAAGAGCAAAAGCAGTTTGTGCCACTTGTGCAAAACATCTTTTTCCATTTATAATTTAAGTCTCAAGCAGAAGTTATTTATGTTAGGATACTACAAATGACTCTCTTATTTTTCTTGTTTAGATCTCTTCTTCCTGACTGAAACAAGAAGGTGCTTGTCAAAAACTTTGCAGAATATAGCTTTCTGGATATTTTTATTATATTTCTCAAGAAGAATGAGTCACATGCTACCACCTTTGAAAAGACACCTTTGAATACTGGTAATATATAAACAGGTTAACAAAATAACCTACCAAGAATGGAAATACATAAATGTAACCTTTTTTTGGAAAAAACAAAGTCTTAAAGCTCATTTCCATATAGAATTTTAACAGATACCATTCATTTCTCAATTGAAATATTAACTATAATAAAATAAATTTAACGAATGAGTGCACACATATGCAAACGTTGGCTGGCACAACAGGCATATGTGACTTATTTTATAATTTAAGTAAATAACTTAAAAACTAAATATTTAAACTATAGTGCAGTATTTCTTAACCATGAGACTGACTTTTTAAAATTCATCAAGCTACATTCTATGGAGATAAAATTAAAGATAGATTGGAATGGTTGAGTTAATTTATTAAAGAAAATTCCAAGACATATTTTTACCCGTTAAGTATTGTTTACACATAAATTTAAATTTGAAGAAATCTTAAAATGCCTGCTTCATGCTCTACATTTTAGACACAAAACCAAACTGCAGAGGATAAGTTACTTGCAGTACTAAACTTTATGCTGTAAAAACCATAGGCAAACTGTCAAACAGAAACAGAAAACTACCTATTGGAAGGACATCAGGAAGCTCACAGAGCTGAGAGGAAAGCCAAAGTACCAGTATGTGGTAAAATAACAGACATGTGGTAAGATAGGCAGTTGAGCTGCAAATTCAGCCAAATTCAAGACACATGAAAAGTCTGGTTCAGATGCCTGTGCTAGCACCAGCTATTAGATAAATATTCAATAACACTCCTGGATGTCTGATACTGCTGCATCCATACTCAATAATTTCTCAACTTCCTTTGGCCTTTTTGTTATGCCTTCAAGTTTAGGAATGTCAAGTCAGGACACTGTAATCGGCAAGCCTATGCCATGTGCTTGTCTCATGGCTGCTTCAAGGAAAAGAGAGGAAATATCCTCTATGATAGCTTTAGCAGTGGAAAACAGGGCCCTCTGCATACCAGGATTCACTCAACTGGAAATTGTCACTCCTGCTCTAAAAAAAAAAAAAAAAAAAAAAAAAAAAGCTGTTCTGATGTTGGATACCATAAATAATAACAAATGCCCCCTACAGACTTCCCAACATCCAAATCTATTCTTATTTCTTATTTAAATTTCCAAATCACTGGACCATGTTTAGTTACTTCAAATAGTAATCAAGTCACAAACTCTAGGTGATTCCTCAGTATTAAATAATTACTTTGCATCAGTATTCTAAAGTGCACCATTATGTATCCCACTTGTAGGAAGAACAGAAAAAAATAGCAATTAGTTATACCTAACCTATACATGACACAACAAGCTGGGTAAGGAATATGGGTAAGAGGGTGTATTCTATATTTTTGTAATTGTTCTCTAGATTGTAGCTACTTACAGTGTTTCTCTTTACCCATTCTATATTCCCATTTCTTCAGCCACCTCCTGAGCTAATTTAGAGTTCATTAAGCCAATGTACCATGTACGCATTTATTTCTGAGTGGTTTGAGCCCTCAGTGACTTTCTCTCATATAGTGGTAGTATGGTTTTCCATTATCCTTTACTCCAGACAATGTAATATGATGTAATATGAGGAATAACTTCAGGGGATCACTTGAGTTTCATAAATGCTGCTTTTTGCCACTGTTGTATATTAGCAACCTTATTTCCCTTTCATAATTAGGATTAATTATTCCAACTAACACAGTAACTTCTCCTCCGTCCATCTTTTTTTTGTCTTCTCTCTCTCACTCTCTTCATTTTTTATTTCTTGCCTATTTACCCAGTGACATTAAGAGGCTGAAATTGCCAGGTGTCAATCATTTACAATTTAAGAGAAATATTATTATATGCCATGGTGGAAACAAGCATTTTAGAATTCTTAAATGAGAGCCTAGACGTGTGAAGAAGACCTGAAGTAAAACTGAGTGAGTCATTAAATTTATTCATGAAAGCCACCATCTCCACTTCCTCCTATTTATTACTTATCTCATGAATGCTGGCAAGGGACAATCAGCATTGTATATTATGCACCGATTCAGATCTTACATGGCATCCTGTAAAATAACGCAGTTTTATCCCTTTCAAGTCCCTGATCATCCAGCTAAACCAGAAAAAGCCTGTGCTATAAATTGCTGTTTAGACTTACCTCAGGCTATCTTTTCTTACAAGCAAAGTGAACTATTAAATGGAGCATTTAAAATTTTGCCCACTGGAAAGATTTTACCTTTCGATAGCATCCTTCTGTGCCATCTATCAAACATAACATGATCATCAACCTCTGACATGGGTCAGCATATGATGCAGAACCATCTATAATCTAAGTTCAAATATTTGCCTCGGTTCATTGATTGTAGAAAACTCCCCATAAAATCATAAGCATAGGTTAAGGAGGGATGAAAATGAGGCAGGAGTAAGCATTCCCAGAGTTTGAATCATCTTGCTCATATTACTAGATATTAGAGCACTCCTGACCACATAACTAATTTTGGTGAATCAGTAACAAACATTTAGTTTATATCAGGCAGTTTCATTTACATGGTCACCTATTGTCCCATTGTCAATGGTACAGAATCCACCAAAGTTTCATATAGAAAGATCATATCTTCTTCATGATTATGTATGTTTATATACACATTATATATATATATATATATATATGTAATCATGAATCATATAGATAATCATGAAGAGAGTATGGCCTCTCTAAAAAACCCTGTTATTTGTTTATGAGACCTTACCATAGTTTCTATATATCTAACATGGTTATTTTAGGTAATATTGAATCTGCTTAGATATAATGCCCAGATGAAAAGTCTGCTTGTAGTGCATCTGCTTGAAATGCATTTTCTGAATTTAACTAAAAGCACTCCTTGTATTAACTCTGTATAGATTGAATAGTATCCTTAAATGTCATTGAACTCAAAATCAAAGGAGAATTCCTAAGCATTGTTGTGTTTTCTCCTTATTATTAGAAAATATAATCTGTCCTCTGCTTTGGAGAGAATATTTTAACTTGTTTCAGACAACTAAACTCAAAAGTGTTAGAATGTTTTTTTCCATTGGGTTTTATCTCTGTCTCTCACTCTGGCTAGCATATGTTGTACAAAAGTATGTGAGGTTTCTACTACATTGTTGGATTCTATCAGTATGATGGCATAATGCAGTTGAAGTGTGTGATAATGAAATGTTCAATTTTAAATTTTGGTTTATTTTATAGCTTTGAGGCAAGATGTCTATCCTTTTCAGGTGATAGTAAATAGTATATATTTCTTTGTTTTTGTTTTCTCACCTCATTGCAAGTGTTTTTTGTTTATTTATTTTCAGATCAACAGCTGTGATAAGATGTCAGGAACTACGAAGATTGACTCCAGTAAAGAAACTCCATGTGAAACAGCCACTCATTAAGTACATTTATGATAATCTATTGTCATTCTCTGAGACAAGTCCTCCTTCTCCATTAGTTGATCTGGGTTCATGAATGCATATATGATAGGTATCTCAATTTCTGATTTTTTTTTCAATTCTTTGACTTGATCTTTGTGATTCTTCCAAGAATGCTATATTCCTTTTTATTTATTGTTATAGTTTATGGAGATGATTTCAGAGAGGTCCACTTTCTCCTGTGCAAAAGAAAAGGTCAATATTTCATAACTCAGAAAACTGCTGTAGGAACATGCTATATATTGAGACTATTTATAAACCACACAATCAACTGCTGCTGAATGGAATGCAGGATGTGTTTTGAGATCACTATAGTTCTACTCTAAGGCACACTTAGAAAACAGCTCAAGTTATAATAGGATCCTTATAAATCTACACTCTGACTGGCAGAGTTAATTGATTAGTCTCAGCCCATGTGAGGTAGTGTTAGTTCAGTTAGTTCAAAAAGTCCCTTAAAGATGGTGACATTTTCCTTTCTTAAGGATAAATTTGCCCTAGTAAAAGACCATAAGTTCTAAAGTGGAAGGCTAGGAGAAATTGGCAAAGTATTTGTGATGCTATTATAGTGTGCTTCTTCAAGAGCTGGGTTCTTCAGAAACAGATCTAATGATAAGGAATAATGTACAAGTGATTTATTAAGAGAGTAATTTTGACATCATGCCCAAATGAGAGGTCTGCTTGTAGTGTATCTCTTTGGAAAGCATTTCCTGGATTTAACTCAAAGTACCCTTTGTATCAATTCAGTATAGAATGAGTAGTACCCACAAATGTTGTTGAATTCAAAATCAAAGAATTCCTAAGTTTTATTCTATTTTCTCCTGATCATTAAAAGGTGTAATCTGTCCACTACTTTGGAAAGAATATTTTATCTTGTCCAGACAACTGGACTCAGAAGTGTTAGAATGTTTTTTGCATTGGGTTTATTTCTCTCTGTCTCTCACTCTGGCCAGCATGTGTTGTACAAAGGTATGTGAGGTTTCTAATAACTTGTTACATTCTATCAGTATGATTGTATAATGTGGTTGAACTGTGTGATAATGAGAAACTGTTGCCAAGAGAAACTATTAAAGAACTATTAAAGAAGCAAGACAAGAAAGAGGAATAAACGGAACAAATATGCAAGTTTTAGGTAGCTTCAGCTTATTCCAACAGGGAATCTTTACATTGTATGTTACACCTCAACACATTCTTACTAGAGATAATGGAACTGGGGTTTCATATCCTCCCTCAAACATTAGTCATTTGCTAAGAGCTGCTTAGGGGATTTAACATTATTCAGCGACCTCTAGCTATCTGCTCATGTGAGCATAGCAGTTCCAGTAGCCTTCAAAGAAGAATAAGAAGTAAAGCACATCAAAGATGGAGGAGATACACATAGAAACAAATGAGAATTAGAATCTGAGGGGATCCAAATGGAGCAATTACAAGATCTACAAGAGGTATTCAGGGTATTTTCAGTGTCTCCTCAATATGAGGGCCTTATGAACTGCAAAGAATTGGGAAAGGTAACATCAAGTTCAGGGTCCACTCACCAGAGTTGGGGATTCAAATTTAGACAAATTAAACAGGACGTTAGTGGGTTTTCCATCTATTTTGGCCATAAGGATCCTATGATCATTTAACCACTGCCAAAGGCTACTGTATACCAGATCATTTGGAATATTATTAACTTTGCAATACTACTAATCCTGTTGCTTATGTGTAAGCATACCACTTTGCTTACTGTTTGAGTTCTTTTCTCACTGTATGCCCAAAGAATCTGTCATGTCTATGAAAATAAAGAGCCATTTCAACTTTAGAATCTTTAACCAATAATGCAAAACTAGATAAAACATCCACCAAAATATTTTTCAAAAATTATAATGACTTTGTTATCAATATAATTCTTAAAGTCTTTATAAAGAAAATATCTTTTTGGTCATCCTGGGGTGGGAGTACAAATAGTACATGAGTAGATGCATCACCCATTTTGAATATATTACAGCATGTCCATTATCTGATATATATGAATTTATGAATTATTGTCATCTCAACTTTATTTATTGTGGGTGATAATGGAATTCAGGTCTTCACGTAGTGCCTATGTCCTAGCTACCAGAGAGCAAGGTATAGTGAACACCTTGACTGTTCACCCACAGCTTGTTCAAATCTTATTTCTTCCTAAGGGAACCACAGATTTGTTCAGATATCCCCTTCTTCCTCAGACATGCAACTCGTCAGAAATTGGGTCTCAAATTGGTTCAGCAATGGTCAAATGACCTAATTAGCTATTAAGACAAAGAAGGAAGTCTGCTTGTGAGCTTATGAAAAAGTTTTCTCATTCATAAGAGAGAAGACAAGCCATCTCTTTTTCCTCTGGGCATTGGCTACATAGATTGTTACAGCTATCAATCTCAAAAGGTAGTCAACTTTGTCCAATGAGGATAAGAGTGTTTGAAAGAAGCTGGGTTCCTAATTAAATCACCAAGCTATAAAAATGCCTAACCCTGAAACTCCCCCTTATCTCTGAGCTTTGTAATATTTCAGATAATTCATTTACTTATCTTTTAATCCAGTATGAGGTGAAGATTCTGCCACCTGTGAATGAAAGCATTTTACCCGGTAGACCGGGAGATGAAAAATCTTGTCTTATTGGCTTCCATAAATGGCAGCAGATCTTTTTATTTCAGGACTTATGTTATTAGCCATAGGATACATGTATAAGCAAGTCAGTATTCAATTCCCTGTTGTAAAGATGTCCTATTATTTTTCTGGGCACATTGAATCTCTCAGCAAAATAAGAGAAACTGGATATGGGTAATCTGTTTTCTTGGTTCTATTCCTATAAAACTTAAGAGCCTCTTTGTGGCTCTTGGCTTAAAATTAGTCATAATTAGTTAATATTAAGTAATATTAGTCATAAGCAAGGAGATAATTTTAGGTTGGATTTGTAGAAAAAATTGCACTTATAAATTAATGTAAGTTATTCTCACTTAAATCAGCAATTTTAATTAATTAGTAGTTAGCAAACAGTTTTGTTAAGGCTATGCTATCATTAGTCATCCAGAAAACTATACAGGTGTTTTTATTAGATGAAAGCATGTGAGTAAGATATTACATAACCATATTTCTTCAATAGGCCCACTTGATATCATTAAGTGACACACTCATTTGGTGAGTGTGAAAGGATAGGAGGAAAAAGGATAAGTACAAAATTTTATAAAATTATATAGAATTGCTTTGGAAAAATAAAAACACTTTTGGTCATAGGAAACTTACAAATTAGTAATAAGTAAGTGTCAAAACACATTATAAATTGGCACCATATATCTAGCTTTATGAATCTAGGATATTCAGGATTTTAAAGACAAAAGTTTCTTAATTCAAATAAACTTCACAAAAGCCTTGATACTTGGCCTAAAAGCTTACTCTAGAAGAGAAAAAAAAATAAGATGTAGTACAAAGCAATCTCTAATTTAGAGTAATTTCTATGAACTCCTCATTTAGAATCATCAGTGATTAGGAAGGAGACACGAACACTATATAAGGACATTTATATATATTTTCAGTCAAATGTAGAGAAATGGTACAAATGAGACAGAGAATTTACCACTTATATCAGATGTTTGACTTAAATAAAGGTAAAATTATAACTTAAAGAAAATAATCCTCTTTATACCTATTGGTAGAGAAAGAAACTGTGGTTGAGTGAGCATTGAAAGAAACATTCATATGAAACTAGGCAGAAAATTAAATGGGAAATTAAAAACAGATATTGGTCAAGACCACTAGGAAATTTATTTTTAAAAAGACTATTCTAATAAGAGAAGACAGCAGTATCTCTTTCTAAACTAGAAATACAACACTGAACTTAGCATTATTTGGTTTCAAAGAAATTTTAGTATGTTCAGGGCTAAAGATCATTTAGCAAATTAAGCCTTAGGAAAGTAAAAACCATAAACAAAATAAAAACAATAAAAATAAAAAGTGATATGAGTATCAAATGGTAGTTCTACTTTTAATTATTTGAGGTATCTCCATATTAGTTTCCATAGAGGTTGCACTAGTTTACAGTCCCACCAGCAATATATGAGTATTCCTGTCTCTCCACATCCATGACATTTGCCATTTTGGAACGTTTTAATAAAAGTCATTCTCACTGGAGTTAAGTGATATCTCATTGTGGTTTTGATTTGCATTTCCCTGATGATTAGAGATGTCTAGCAATTTTTCATATGTTTGATGGCCAGTAGGCTTTTTTCTTTTGCAAAATTTCTGTTCATGTCATTTGCCCACTTTTTAATGGGGTTGTTTGATTTTTTTCTTGTTAATTTTCCTAAGTTCTATACAGATTCAATTTATCAGCCCTTTATTGGATATACAGCATGCAAATATTTTCTCCCATTCTTTAGGTAGTCTATTCGCTCTAATGATAGTTTCCTTGGCTGTGCAGAAGCTTTTTTAATTTGATCAGGTCCCATTTATTTATTTGTTTTTTTATTGCTGTGATTGCCTGTGGGGTCTTCTTCATAAATTCTTTGCCTAGGCCAATGTCTATAAGAGTTTTTCCAACATTTTCTTCTAGAAGTCTTATGGTTTCATGTCTTATGTTTAAGTCTGTTATCCATCATGAGTTGATTTTTGTGAGAGGTAAGAGGTATGGATCCTGTATCAGTCTTCTACATGTGGCTCTCCAATTTCTCAGTACCATTTATTGAATAGTGATACTTCTCCCCAGTGAATGCTTTTGTCTGCTTAGTATGGTCCAGTACTTCTTTTTATTGGAAGACATTTTATTGCTGCTTCAATTTTAGTGCTTGCTATTGGTCTTTTCAGGAATTCTATATCTTCCTGATTGAGCCTAAGGATGTTGTGTGTTTCTAAAAATTTGTCCATTTCCTCCACATTTTCATGTTTTGGGGCACAGAGATTTTTATAGGATTGAAAGATGATGTTTTGTATTTCTAATTGAGCTTATTAAAATCCTTTCCTTTCTGCTTCTGGTCAATCTAGCAAGAGGCCTGTCAATTTTATCTTTTCAAAGAACCAACTTTTTGTTTCATTAAT